ATTCAATATTGAATTTGTGCGTAGTGAACTAGAGTGCTCAACACCAATAAATCAGTAGAGCAAATAAAAAGACATAAACAACAAATATCAATCTTAAAATTTTATTTCATCGCTACACAGTGTTTCACGTACAGCGTACGATCATCAGGCGATTGGTGTTCACCAATCGCCTGAACACCAATCGCCTGATGATCGTACGCTGTACGTGAAACACTGTGTAGCGATGAAATAAAATTTTAAGATTGATATTTGTTGTTTATGTCTTATATATATATATATATATATATATATATATAACTACAGACGGTACCGTTTCGGCCTAATGGGCCTCATCAGTGTAGTGCTGATGAGCAGGATGAAAGTAACCCTTATTTATAGTTACCTTTGATGCCTCACGATTGTGGGACATCAAAACCATGCCAGAGCGCTCAAACTGCAAGCAGTGAGCGTGCGCAATGCGTAAGCAGCATGGCTCATCCTGTAGAGCGCTCAATATGACCTAAAGGCCATAGAGCGATATCTAACTACAGACGGTACCGTTTCGGCCTAATGGGCCTCATCAGTGTAGTGCTGATGAGCAGGATGAAAGTAACTCTTATTTATAGTTATAGTTACCTTATATATATATATATATATATATATATATATATATATATATATATATATATATATATATATATATACTGTATATATAACATTTTGTATATATGGAAATTACAACTTACAAGGAATTGGAATATGTTGAATATGGTATTAAACAGATGGTGTTGAAAAAAGGGAAAATAAGTTTTTTTGTATACTTACCAAAAAATTTTGTTTTTGTACTTACTGTTTAAAATTTTTTTAAACTTAGTTACAAAGCCGGCAGATCATTATATTTCAAAGTAGCAGGTTATTATATTTCATAACACAAAAGCATGCTATCATGCAAAACTTATTATTATCAAAAGGCATGCAAATTTACTTGTATTATGTATTTATGTATACCTTCTGTCCAAAACGCTTCTAACCACTTCTTTGCCTAATTTCGCGTCATATTCTCTGATAATGCTGTAGACTTTAAGGCCGTCTGCGTCCACCAAAATCTTTAATTTTCTCCCATAATTATCAGCTGTATATCGACCTTTGAATGTCTCCACGCCATAACCGTGTATGACAGACAATAGATGAAGTAAATTCACTTCGGCAATCTGCGCAGACTGCCCAGCTAGCTTATTGTGTTCGCTTGAAACCTCCTTCTTCAAATCGCACGATTTTGCGAGCGTAGACCATATATACAAGGGTAAATATGTGGAATAATCAGGGATGTTATCGGGATTAAAGTCGCCAGTCTCCGCTTGCGCCAGTGTAGCGCAAATTTCCGCTATCGTTCTTGTCGGAAGCGAACTCAAGTCAAAACGTCCTCTACGTAAATACAGTTTCAGCGTCAAAAAACATTGATGCCTGGAAAAGAAAGTACAATATATTATACAAAAAGAAGCTTCGGGAGAAGGGAAAATAGCAGCCATACGGAAGGACCTCCAAATTCTTGATAACATATTTTCAGGTAGTTCAAATACGGTCTTTCAAAAAATATATTGTTCATCATTGAAACCTCACATTAAAGTTATTAATACAATAAATCCACTCATTCGATAGGCACAAAAACTAACCAAAATACTACAAAGAGTTAGGGTCTTTATGTGGCTGACTTACCGACTTATTTCTTGCTGTATTTCTTGAGGTTTTACGAAATATTTGACAAGAAACCAAAAGCGGTACGGCGGTTTCCCGTGCACTTGTGCGGACAAACTGTTTCGCAAATTTAACCAAACCTCCGTCCCTTTTGGCCCCTTGTATCGCAAACCGAAATAATCCCGTTCGTAGAGCTTTAGCCTTTCACAAATCTATAAAAATGAAGGAACATATACCGTTAGAAATTTTTTTTGACAAGACAGGTGAAAATGAAATCGTCCACATTTTGAGTTGGGTTTTCCCTGGCCGAAGCAAAATCGCAAAATACATACTTTGTCGAAACATTCGTGGCCTTTAGCGTTCTTATTTAAGTGCATTTCATGGATAATACCATTCGGTTCGTATATTAAACACCAAAGCATCTTTAACTAGCTTTTAAACGGCGAAAAAGCGCTTGACAAAAACATAAACAAAAAAATTGTGAAGCGAATTGATAATAACAATAACACCAGCTTCTTTCTGCATTAATTTCTAGCTTCCCCGTTAGCCAATCAACGTGCGCGAATTAATCTCCACGCGATTTGATTGGCTGTTGAAACCGTAAACATTACGAATCAAGGAAAATTAAAATCCCAATAATACAATATCGAACAATTTTTCAGTTTCTTTGTATTTTTCAAGTGCTTTTTTCTTCGATAAGTGTGTGAAAAAATTCACAAGAAGAGGATGATATCATTATGTGGCTAATATCAAATTAACTGGTACCAGTTTGGGAAATAAAATGAATATTGAATAAAACTTACATAAAAATGGAAACTGGACCGATAGCGCAGATTCTCTGCGCAAATTTTCAATCTGTGGGCGCAGTCTAATCATAAATCATGTTTCGTTTATCGTTATTTAATCACGTATATTTTTGCCTACGTGTTCCTTTGACGTAATTGGGCAGATGTGCCATACAATATTTGTTTATTTAAAACGTAACTTTTGCATAAAATGTACGTCCAAATTCACAAGTTCAAAAGTTCATCATACTAAAATGTTAATCCATGCGTCTGAATCATTTTACTAAATGAAAAAAAAACGAACAGGAAATGGAATACAATACATAATCACAAGTAACGAACATACAAACAGACTTAAGTGACATACAGATTACAGTAACAGACGGACAAACAGACTCATGATCACTGGAGAAGAAACAGACAGACAGACAAACAAACAGACGTACTAGATTCTGTTTGTCCCGTCTGTTTGTTTGTGCGGGTTGCACACCTTTATTTTTGTGGGAGATTCAGGCATTCGAAGGATCGTTCTATAAATATATATTTGTACACAATGTGATGAAATTCCAACTTTGGAGAATATTTTACCTTGGAAACTGCAAGTTTAATGCAAGTTTTGTCACCTAATCTTCAACTACATGCATATGTGGCTACGTGGTAGAGGTTTTTAAACTGGTTATGCTTTTAAAAGAACGCTAAATTTCAACATGGTTCGGATTTGTGGTTTGAAAATTTCGATTTTTGTGGCGCTCACTTTCTGCACTGATTTTGCGAGTATGTCCTTGGAAGAATGCTCAATTACGGAAAGAGAGGGCGTTTACTACAGTACAAAAGCCTCGAATTCGTCCGGCAAACTTTTAAAAACGTTTGAGGACAAAAGCAAGGAGGAATGCCGAAATTCTTGTTGCGAAATGGAACAGTGTAATTTTATGATGTACACGACAGTGCTCAGAGATCACGAAAAGTCAACTAATATAACTTGTTTTCTGTTCAATTGTACTGAAATATTGAAGTGTAAAACGCAGAAATTGCCGGCGAATATCACAGGGGTCTCATTTATTGGAATAAAGCAAGGTATGCCAGCATTGTAGGTTAATATCGATTTGGCTAGTTGTATCATAGCTGTAAAAAAATGTTTGATTTTTGAATAACATATGAGTTCGCCAACCGCACAAAATAGATCGGTTTGACTTTCACAAAGCACTATCGTACAGTAGATGTTGATCAACCTGCAGTTATCAGAGTGATGTCTTTTTATTTAATACATGTGATAGTCCTGTATTTTGGAGGCGAATAGAGTCAATAGACTGAGAAATGAGAGATGCTGTATTATATATAATTTGTTTGAAGTTGAGTCATCTGTTGCCCGATAATGCTTTCCAGGTTAAATTTGTTCTTCTACAAATATTGATAATTAAAGTATGTAGTTTATAGCAAAAACATCAATCGGAGTTTGAACTTTTGCAAATTTTGCAGCGGAGTATTTGTAATATTTGTAGTATTGAACTGCAAATTTTTTAGTCTAACTTATATTTATAAATTATGCATGATAAGTCGATGTGTGATTGGACCAAATGGAGGGTGTAAATCCGGTTTGTTGACAGCAGATGTTGTGTTTGAGCCAAAACGATTGTAATGGGGTGAGGCGGTTTTTGAAAACCAATTCAACTGATGTTGTGCAATATATTTAGTAAAAATCAAGAAAATACATGCATGCAGTTAAATTATTGCATCCAAAGCATTGCTCCAGATCTTCTTCACGTTCGCACTACTTAATACTCGAGTTTCACGACACAAAAATCCATCATTTCACGAGAACAAATATAGGCAATTCACGGCTCATGAATTGGTAGCACTCTCCCCCTGACGCGTAAAATCGTCTGGCGTTAGACAGAATAAAGTAATAAAGTAGGGCGCATCTGGGTGCATTGCCACTTAAACGGTTAACAGGGTGCATGGGCAGATAGTCTGATTAACCCTTTGAGTGCATGGCAGCACTCTCCCCCTGACGAGTAAAATTGTCTGGCGATAGACTGAGTAAAATAATAAAGTTGGGCACATTGCCACTTAAAGGGTTAACATAAATTCTAGCAATGTTGGTATTATCACAAATTTACATACCTATCATCCTTTATTCCAGAAAATTTAACTGAGACTTCAAGTTACACCAATTCAACTATTGAACAGGTATGTTTCGTTTTATCAAAGAACCTTAAAGGCCATGTAAAGTTTGTAATGTAAAAAACGCTTTGTTTACATTTTGAACTCAGTGCTGCAGTTGTAAAATATGATTAGATATATATTATACTGAATTTTTAACACTCTTCTGGTTCGCTATGCTTGTAAATGAATACAGACTAGAGATTCAATTCAAGGAAGTACGGAAGGTGCGAAATATTAATAACATTACAATACTCAGGTCCCGACCATTGGAATGTAAGCCTGCGCAGAACATATGTGCAGAATGGACTTTACATGGTCTTTAAATGGCATATAATTATTTGAATTACACTTTGTTAAAGTTTAACTATTGGATGTTGTATTATTTCACAAAACACAATTACCGTATCCAGTCCTTGAAACTCAGGTCGGCATTCGGCAATGCCAAAATTTTGCCGACCTACTTTCAAATACGTCTCGGCATTTTTTCCCGCGAACGCATCTTTCACATACGCATTTTCAACGATGATGTTTTAATTATCAGGTTTTGATCATTAGCTTGCATAGTCAAAATATGCTTTGCGAATTGCGAGTATCAAATTTAATCCTTGTTTAAACAGTACAGTGTCATTGTTGAAAGGCCATGCTTGAAACTTTGAAAAGTAAGCATACGTTTTAAAATCGTTGAGCTTCAAGATTTAAGCGAAAGTATATGGTAATAAAATAGTGTATGCGGTCTGTCACAACATTTGGTCACAACATGTACTGTTCGATTGGAGTTCATAAATTTTGTTACTTGTTTTGTTTGCTATTGGCATTGATTGCAATTAATTGCTGTTTAAATTTTCATTTGGATATTTTCTATTTGTTTTGAAAATATTTGCCGACCTAGAATGAGAATGATCAATTTCGGGAGTTTCAAGGACTGCGTATCTAAGACAATAAAACCTAAATCCACAATCATGTGAATTTGATAAATATATAAAATCATAAATCTATCTTTAAAATTATAAATCATTGCGTGTCTTACACCATTGTAATATTTATTAAATATTTTGCTCGTATATTTCAGCATAAAACATATAAACCACCATTGAGCTCAACTGTACGTACATCGGAAGTGCATTCACCTACCAACACCACAATGCAAAACATGGACAATATCTTAAATTTTAATAAAATAAATAATTCTGATGTATTTGGACTTCACAACACCACCAATGTACCACCTAAGACCATGCATTCACCAATCGATCCTGGCTATGTACCATCAAACCTTCTAGCATCCATAAGTAACACCAGCTACCCAACAATATCCATGCCAAACCCTGGGTTGTCTATTAGTAACAGCATTCCTTCAACATTATCCATGATTATTCCTTCACCATCAACCGAAATTCAGATGAATTCCAACCATTCATTATCTACACTCTCCCATCCATCAACATCCATGCATAACACAAATCATCCTACATTATCCACCTTAATACATTCAACACCCATACATACGCATACACTTGGAAATCGTCGGAGATCAAACAATTTGTTATCACATGTCGGCCAGCTGTCTGGATCCCATTTAGATGCTAACGATGGATCAAAATCATCTCGTTATCAAAACCATACTCTTGACAAAATATCATCATATACATTGAGTTCCATGTCTGTCAGTGTGGATTCATTGGTCAGTTCATTGAAATCATATTCAGATTCTGAGATTTCCACATCATCACCATCAATTCCGTCAACATTCGTATATGTAAGTTTAAATGTTGTAATCAAAAGTCATTATATACTATTAAATAAATAATTGATTTGATCAACACACAAATTTTTTTACAATAACATTAATGGTTTTGAAGATGGGAAATAATACTATTCTCATTCAAGGGTGGATCCAGCAAGGTTTTTCTAGGAGGTGCTGGGTGAGCACTCACTGAGAAACCGAGTGTTTCGTTATAATTCTTTAGGTATGCCCCCGGAACATTTTGAAAATTAGAACCCTAGAAATGCCATTTCCTGCGATATGGGCATTGACTTATGAGCTTCAGTTTGATTTTAAAACAGAAAAAACCTTGGAAATTAAGTCATATTTCTGAAATTGATTTTTTTGACCAAGGCCAACAAGGGTGTGCACCCCCCCCCCCCTATAAATCCACCATTGTTCTCATTTTTAAACCCATCAATGGATAAGGTGAATAATTACTATTAATATGGTAATTATCAATGTACCATTGTAGAAATTACTTTTTTCTATTCATGGGTTTTAAAATCAGTCAATTTCAAACCCAGTATTTTACAACGGACAACTACCAGAAAAAGATTGGAAACATGTTGACATTTGGCAGCTTTATTCAGGCTCCTATCAATGTATTTTAAACTAAAAACATAAAAATAATCATAGCCTGTGACATTTTCTATTGTAATTATTACACTACTGTAAATATCAAATCACGTTTCTTTCTGTCTTTAGCCTCATTTCAAAACTGAAGCTTTGGCAGTAAGTGCAATGTCAAGCCTAGAGGCCGTGAGCAGAAATGTCTCTCATTTACATCCATCAAGTAGTTTGCAGAATAGCTTTCAAGGTATGTGTATCTCTTGTTCTCTCCAGAGGTCCCATAAGGATCAGCTCTTATTGATCCAGTGTTACTGCAGGAGGAAACCTAAACTAAACTAACTTTATTTATACTGGATAGCTCTATCAGTTCTAAACTGTTCGTCCTAGAGATCCAATAAGGATCATCTCTTATTGATCCAGTGTTACTACAGGAGAAAACCTAAACTAAACTAACTTTATTTATACTGGATAGCTATTTCAGTTCTAAACTGTTCTTCCTAGAGGTCCAGTAAGGATCATCTCTTATTGATCCAGTGTTACTACAGGAGGAAACCTAAACTAAACTAACTTTATTTATATTGGATAGCTCTATAAGTTCTAAACTGTTCTCTCTAGAGGACCAGTAAGGATCATCTCTTATTGATCCGGTGTTACTACAGGAGGAAAC